CACACACACACACACACACACACACACACACACACACACACACACACACACACACACACACACACACACACACACTCTGTTCTGTCACCTTTGGTTCCGTCACCCTTCAGTGCCATCATCTCCAGAGAATGTTAAATGAGTCAAACTGGCAGCAGAGGGAGAAGGGGCTTGACAGAGACAAACATCAAGGAAGCTCTGGCACTGACTGAGAACTAGAGGACGTTGTGGGCATAGGACTTTGACATGACAAGCCCTAGTACTTTTGCATTTGCTAAAAGGTTCAGACTGGACCCATCAAAACAAGAAGTTGAGAAGGCTAAGATGTGCAATAGAGATGATAGGTTTGAAGGATTTCTTCCAGATAGTTATTTTTAACAGACAGGTGAGTCAGATGGCTTTCTTATAGGGTGCACTTGAAGCAGTGCATATTAAAATTATTTAAAATGTACAGTATATGTAACAATAAGTATGCAAGCAGAGTTTTTACATGCCTACACAACTTTGTATAAAGAATGGTTTTATTGTGCTTCCAAAGAGAATATGTATTATCCGTCCAAACTCCTGTCCAGACAAGGAAGTCTATACAGTTTGCGTTTCATGAAAAAAAAGGCCAGACAATCACTTGTATGTCTTGTTTCCTATGAAGACTTAATATTGCTTATTAAAGAAGCTGTCATCTTACTGTAGTTGTGAGTGTAGACAGTGTTCCCTTAATAGCGTATAAACTCTATGACAAGGACAATTTTTTTTTTCTCTCTGTCTGACTTTCACTACAGTTTGTGTTTTTAAATAACATTGATTGATTGATGGATTGATTGATTGATTGATTGATTGATTGATTGACTGATTGATTGATTGACTGATTGATTGATTGATTGATGATGCCTTTATTGTCATTGTATGGAACACAGAACACCCATTCAAGAAGACACACATGACATGAACTTGTAACCCAAAAGTTTAGTTTTTAAATATTCCTTTGTGAAAACTATCCAGTAATATTTGTTTTTGTCCCGTCATAGTTTGTTCCTGGTGCCAAGATGGTGGAGGATCCTTCTTTTGCACTCAACCTTCAGAGACTCTCCAAATTACAGCTTGTCTTTGCTCATTATTTTCAGCAGGTCTGTAACGCAACTTTCTGCCTAGTCTCCACTCTTTCCTTTTTCCACTGCTACACCGATGCTTCCCTTCCTTTGTTCTGCAAATAAAGACATTCAAGTAAGCCTGCTGATTTTTTTTTTTTTGGTCTGGTCAGATTTCTAAATCTCTTCATCATTGTTTGAAAATTGCTAAATTTTGCAAGTAGAAGTCTCTGCAGTCAATAGGTTGCAGTTTCTTGGGTGTAGGGCGTAGTTTGGGTAAGCCGTGATTGGTCGGATTAAGTTGTAGGCAGTGTTTTCGTAAACTGTTATTGGTTAGATTGCTGTATAGGCATGGTTTGTGTAATTTGTGACTGGTTATATTAACATGTGGGCATAGTCTGGGTAAATTGATTGGTTAGACAGACTTTTGTGGGCATAGTTTCGGTGAAGGCAGTTGGGAGAAATGTAGATCAGATCACTAATCAGGATTACTTGAACAAAGCCCAAAGGAAAGAGAGCGGAGCTCAGGTACAGTACGCACTCAGTGAGGACTCTGATAAGCTCCTTTACAAAACAACATTCACCAGTCATCTGCTCGACAGGGCGGACACTAGGATTCTCTGAGTAATGCTGCGTTCACACCAAATGCAATTTCAGTGCCAAAAACATGTCCAACGCTTCACATTGGTTGTTTGTGCAATTTGAGGTCAGACTCGAGTCAAAATTGCTCTTGACATGCGTCACACATCGAGAGCCTCTTGTTTTCCTTCTCTGCTGGTCTCTGTTTAATGACAGATGAAAAAAAGCAAGTGGCTTTGCTTTATTTACTGAGAGCAAGAGCATGTCACGCTCACCAGATAATTCATAATTAATTCACCAGATAATTCAGAAATGTTCTGAGTTTGGTGAGTTTCACCACCGAAGAGCTGTGAGATGACACAGCTTGCTTTCAGAACTATTTTTGTCCCGAGCTTGGTTTGATGAGACGCTGACCTGCATTTGGTGCCCACATCTGCCAGGACACCGACTACACACACTCAATTTCAGCTAAAGAGCTCCTGTTCATCTGTCTCAGGTTAGTGGACATCATTCAGGAATGCGCCTCGTCAGAAAATGTATCACTACGTCACACTGTGGAGTCTTTCTGATTGGTTGACGTGCGTGTTGAGCTGCAAAAGATCAAATTTTCCAACTCCAGCATTCGACACACATTTGTTGTGAACACAACATCAAGCCCAGAGGGGAGAGAAGCCCCCACTTGTAGAGGATTCAAACTTGTTCCTGTACAACAGCCCTTCACCAGTCTTCTGACTGACCAAGCAGCTACTAGAATGAGTGATGCCCAGCAGAAGGAGAGTGGAGCTTCAGAAACAGTATGTGCTCTGTGGGGAGTCAGCAAAGAATCCCCAAAGAAAGACCATTCACCAGATCAGATTGCTTATTTTACCAATATTAATTTTAGTCATAACTTGACACAAGAAGGTGTTAGCTGTACATAATCTGAATACCATACATGTGGAGGATGTGGAACAATTTTGCTCATTCAAAACAGTCCTAAGCTGCCTTGAAAAATATAAAAAAATTTGAATTTTAATATTAATAGGTCATAACTTCAAAGAGGAAGGTGCTAGCCTCACCAAAAATGAAGTCAGTTAAAGTATATTTGCATGTTCACAATAATTTTTCCATTACTATTATTCCATCTTTTAACTTCCCCCACAAGTCTATCCAACCAATCATGGTTTAACCAAACTACACCCATAAAAGTACATCCGACCAACAACGGCTTAGTCAAATTGCATCCATAACCAAGACACTCTCACTTATTAACCGCTTTTGCCATTTTTGAGCTATTGCTCCACTTGAAACCTATAGGACATTGCGTTGGACCATCTCACTTATCATTATTCTGACCTGAGTAGTTGCAAATGCCAAGGTTCTGCTTTTATTACACTGAAGAATCTGCCACTCATTATTTGCTACCATTAATTCATCCTTGTTTCAACAAGAAATCTCACTGAGACAAAAGAAGAATTCTGTTGTTAAAAAAACTCATTGTTTCAACACTCAAGCCCATCTAAACATCTCCAAAAGTATAATTTAAACATTTTTATTTAATAAAATACATGTTCGAACATAACAAAAAATATGTTAAAAAACTACTCAAAATGACAGGAAAATAGAATATGAAAAATCAAATCATTTCAAGAAGCCATTTAAAATGTCTCGATATTTTTTCTCACATTCACAGCTTTTCAAG